CGGCGGCGGCAGGCATCGGATGGAGAGTAGGAGCTTCAGCGGCCTTGGGAGCAGCAGCAGGACCGGAGACAGCTGCATCGGAGGTAGCAACTGAGCCAGATGCACAGAAGGAGTCAGTTTGTGGTGGATTGAAGGTGATGGTGTCCATCAACAACTCGGCTTCACGGATTTGGTACAGAGTGGATATGCGTCCCTCCAGCTCTGTGATCTTCTCGGCGAGAAGGGAGCAGCTAGTACAGCCAGACGGAGAGGTAAGAGGAGCCATGATGTGGGTGTGTGTCTGTGGTACCTGGGGACGAAAGCAAGAGAGGGGGCCAGTACGCCGGCTCAAGGTGCACGATTTTATGATCCCTTAAGCGGAGCGTAGTAGCCGCTAACAGAGGGGGCACGGGCACTTACACGCAGGGGCTCCCCAAAACGGAGCCCACAACGTTGAAATGGTGTTAGCTGTTATCCACAGAGAGAGTGTCAGAGCAGGGCGTCAGGTGGCGGAACTTACCGGCACGGGCCCAGAAGTGGGCCCGCTACGGAGATCAGGCTTCGGTGTAAAGGCAGCGACTTGAGACCCAGTAAAATCCAACGTTAAAATCCTCAGCAGTTGAGCTTTGCGGTCAAAAACACGCCGGTGATAAAAGCAGGGAGGCCGAGAGGCTGGTTGTCCTCAGTGACAGCAGAAGAGGTTTCCCACGCTGTCATTTCACGACTTGTCAAAAAATATGTTAAAATCACAAACCGGATGACTACAATCTTCCGTCCAGTTGTACCATGCTCATGAATAACAAATGTTAAAAAAGATTTGACTATAAAAGACGGTGAGAAACTGGATAAAAGCAGGGTTTTAAGAGAGACGAGCTGGCGAGGAGCTTACAGACAGATAAGGCTGCAGATTCAGTATCTTCTTATTAATCACTCATTAAAACCCACTTTTATAGATTCACTTTTGATTGATGTTCTTTTTTGTTCCTCGTTTAGATTTTCTTTTCCCTTTATATCGGTACTGCCTGCTGTCCATCTCTTTTCCTTCATCTACTTTTATCTTCAGCTTTTATCTTATCTCCCCTCTGTGACGTCGTCTTTTTAATCATTTGAGTGTTCACCTGCACTTTTTATACTCGTTGTTTTCCTGTGTGGCCTCGTCTCACTGTGTGTTGTGTTTTATGTAAAAGCTCTTATAATAATAAAAAAATAATAAACTTTATTTGTACAGCACCTTTAAGAACAGAATTCACAAAGTTTATTATTATCATTATTAGTTTTGCTCAGACTCTACAGACAGCTCGTACAGTGTGATGCTGACGGGCTGGTGCTAGGGTTTAATGTGCGTTTAATTTGTTGTACGTATGCGTTACTCTCTCATGTGTAGAGGTCTGGGTCTCAGGTTGTTTCCAGCCTCCCTGAGCGTTCCAGCGTCCAGAGTTGCCAGCAACGATGAAAACACCAGCTAGGTGTTTATTAGCATGTTCCACCTCGAGCCTTCGTCTTGTTAAGATTTAAGGGAACAAATGGAGACCAGCATTGATCACTGTGCATGTGAGTGGATGGCTGACTAATCCTCCCACACGTACTCCCTTTCTGCTTATAGACATGAAACATCAACACTCATTTTGACTCATGCAGCTTCGGTGTTTTCATGAACACCTTTTAAACCTGAACAGCTACAGAAATAATTATAAGTTATAAACATTATATGTACATAGAGAGCCCAAATTCTAAATCAACACAACTTCATAACACTAATAACATGTTTTGACAGTTTCCCATTTACTTTAAACTGCTTTTATTTTATTGTTATCATTTTTTTTACGATGACCTTGACCCTAGTTAGTACACTCCATATACTAACATACTTTAGGAACAACCATAGTGTGTCGAGTTCTGGTCCAGCCAAGCTTTTCTGTTGCAGGTCCACAGGAGGCTGGTATGAATAAATACTGAAAACTAAAAAGCTGAAATTTTCACATCTTTCATAACAACTGGACAAACTCTATCTGCTGACAAAGCTCTCGTAACAGCAACAAACAGCCTCTAACTGGGCCGGGAGGTGAGAACCCTGTGGTGAGACGGTTTTATAAGCGAGGAAAAGGATTTATTCTGAGTCACTGTGTTCGCTCTCAGATGTAGTTTTAACAACGTGTACCTTAACAGTTGTATTCTATGGACTCCACCATCATCAGGCTGCCAGATGAAACACTAGGAATGTACTTAGTTAAATCCGCCATGTTGAACTATTAGCCCCAGTTTATGACTATTTTTAACTAAAGGGAAGTGATGCAGTGCAGTTTGGACATTAGCGATGACGCATCATTTGCAGTTCATTTTTGCTTTATCATACACCGATAGTGTGACTAACTTTGGACAATGCTGGCATACTTGGCAGCTGTTTTGGTTATTAGCTGTATCTGTGGCTTGTTCCCACACTTTAGCAGCGTTTCAGTGGCTCTGGCCCACATAGAGACGAGAGGCAAACAACAACAACAACATGTGTGATCACACAGCACCTGATGTCATCGGCTTAAATGTGCTTTTTATTTATTTAAAATGATGGACTAGATGTGTTTTCTGTCATTTAATTTGCAAGTGTACAGCAGGAGTTGAGGATGTTTAAGAGTGTGTTGTGATGCTATGAGGTGTGTGTGTCGCTGCGGGAATATCTGCTGACTTGTGTGTGAGTGTGTATGCAGCGAGGTGGGAACGCTACACAAGTGTTCCTGTGCTGTTGGGATAAGTCAGTCATAGAGATGCCATGTGTGTAGGAGTGTGTAGTGTTGACGATCCGCCCAAGCTCTGGGTCTCTCTTCCTCATCAAATCTCCACTCACAATGAGTGACATCACTGGAGTTTCCCCCCCAGGAGGAAACCTTTTTAATAAGAGACAGTCACAGTGGCAGTCAGCAAACCAGAGCGGTAGCAGCAGCAGCAGAAGAAGACAGCTCTCCATTAGGCTGCTAAGAGCTCAACTTGACTTGCAGGGACCAAAGGGACTCGTTTAAACAATGGAACATGAATGCAAGGTATTTCTGGACACCACAGTCGACACAGAAGCCACGAAACAGGAACCACCGGCAGGCGTCAGACCCAGCTCGAAGCTCACCACAGCCCTGCTGGCGTTCACGCTGTGCCTCGCTGTCACTGCTGCTGCTCTCCTCATCGTGAACAAGGATGCCAAGGTGGGAACACAGCGGTTTCTAAACTATTCAAGAGCGATGCTGATTGTAGTAGTGAGTGGTCCAGCTCATCTGAACCAACCAGTCCATAAACATTGTTCTTTATCCTTCTCCTCCTGACACAGGGTCCTGGACCACATGAAGAAAACTTTGGTGAGTACTCCCAACTCAGTCCTCTCAAATGTTCAGCACTGTGCTTCCTCTTTAGCTTTTGTCAAACTAGTAAAACCTTTAGTATGAATCTCAGCTGATACTGGATCTATTGCGGTACACCAGAACTCATGTATGTCTGTCTTCTTTTCTTTCCAGATCTTCGTCACACATTGAGGCAGATTTCAAACGTGAGAGCAGCCATTCATCTAGAAGGTAAAAACAATTCATCCATTCAACACTGAAACATACGTCTTCTGACATGTACAGTTAGTGCAATGTGAGGAAAGAGATATCACGGATGTTTCTGACTGGTACACCCTGTGAAAAATCCTAACTTTAAGGTTCCTTGTCCAGTGGTTCTGAAAATAGCCACCAATGGGGCAGACCTTCACCAGGTCAGGTTAAAGCTAGGCTTAGCAGCTCTTCAGTCAGCTCTGAGGGTTGTTGAGTAACTTTAATGGCTTCTTCAAGCAGTTTTGAAAAAAGTTCTTCAAGTTCTTTAAGAAACTCGAGGGATTGTTTTACTGGGGTTTTGTGCAACTGAACTCCCTCCAGTGGGTAGTTGGAGGTAAACCGGAGAATGTGGAAGGACTCAAAAACAAAATGAGAAACTGGATCATTTCATTGTCATGTTATTCACCAGAAATGATTTTAAGTTATTTATTTTAGAGCCAAAGGCACACGCTTTCCTTAACAGCTAATATAGTTTCCTCTCCATCCTCATGGCTCTGTCCTCTTCAACAGGAGAATACAACCCTAACATGAAGACCTCAGTGGAATGGAAGAAGAATGTGGACCAGTCCCACCTTCAAGGAGGTCTGGAGCTCCGCAACAACGAGATTGTGATTCCTGAGAACGGCCTCTACTTCGTTTACAGCCAAGCGTCTTTCCGAGTCAGCTGCAGCAGCAACGACCCTGCTGACCCAACCTCCATCCCCATGGTCCACCTGAGCCACACCGTGAAGCGCTGGTCCAGGTCATACGGGAACGACGATGCCAAGAAGCACTATCAAACTATCCTGCACTCTATCCGCACTGCCTGCCAGAAGACGGCCAGCGTTGACTCAGAGGAGGACGGGAGCTGGTACTCTGCTGTGTACATGGGAGCCGTGTTCAACCTGAAGACGGGAGACCTGCTGAAGACGGTGATGGAGGAGGAGATGCTGAAGCAGCTGGAGGACGAGCCTGGCAAGACTTTCTTTGGTGTGTTTGCCTTGTGAGGGCAGGTAGCTGAGAGGAGCAGGTGCAGATATGAAGGCACATGGCACACCTGCAGCCTGCTGCTCCACTGAAACCCACCCACACTGCTGAATGTTAAGAGTCCACAGAAGGCCTTCACTGTGTTGCAGAGTCCATGTGGGCTCTAAACTCACACTTTGAAAAAATGTATAAGCAATTTACTGCTTAAAGTTGACCAAGCTATGGTGACTGTAGAGTTGAGCACACCAGCTCATGGTACCTCTATGGGTCTATATATTATGTACTATGTACTGTGGCCGTATCGTCAGTACCTTCTGCTGTACTGCCTTGCTCAGTTTTTACTGCTTTTGGCATTTGTATGGATTTACTACAACTGCTGCATTTTTATTGTGTCACTACAGAATGACAGAAGTGGTTTTTCACGGATGTATTTATTCAACATAACATTGCCATATTTATTTTATTTATTGAATAATTAATTTATTTGTGTGTTTTCATGTGTTTTTTCCCCCAGAGAATGTCCAAATCAGTGATTGTTCTGGATTGTATGCATAATTTATGAAACTATTTATTGTAACAGATTTTTTTTCTCTGTGGAGTTTTTGTTGACATTAGCGAAGATGTTCTTACATCCTCCATCGTGCCTGTGGTGCCATAAACAAAAACTGTTTGAATTAAAATCTTTTTGCAAAGTAAGTCTACAGGAGTTGTGTTTTGTGGCCTCCTACTGCATCCTGTGAAAGAGGAAGCAGGATGTTTCCTTGAAACACACAAAGAAACTGGCTTTATCAGTTTGATGTGTCACCGACACTAACCTCAGCACTACCGGGTCGATCAGATACTGAGGTGTGTCTCTATGAGAGCTTTGTCATCATTTCAACACAGTCAGATGTAACTGACACTATCAATATGGTCAGATACCAGTACAGTGTCTAATGACTGTCAAAGGTACCAATATAGGGATGAACAGTAATACTGATGTACTTTTTTTCTTGATAAATCACCAGAAGAATGGAGGGTTTTCATGCTACTGTCACCGAGAACTCAGTCATGAGGGAACCTTTAAAGTACTATTAAATCCCTCAACATGTGGAAACTGAATTGAAGTGACTCTATCAGAACAAATGTGGTGAATCTGGCCTGTCGTGGCTGAAGGTAAGGAGAGGTTGAGTTCCTTGAGTAATGAGTATTAACCACTCAGAAAGCTCCATGTCCTGGGGTTGAGCACTCAAAAATGTTTTTGAACTGAGTTGCTTTTCCTGTTTTCTATTCTGGGTTTTGATTTACATCTTCCTGTCCTCAAGCTGGGCTGCAGGTGACTCAGTGGTTCGCACCGTCGCCTCGTAGCTAGAAGGTCGCCGGTTGGCGTCCCGGTGAGGACACCCGGGATCTTTCTGCGTGGAGTCTCCATGTGAAAAAGAGGAATGTTTTCTAGAAACTACCTCTCATGTGGTCTACAGCCCACTTCCACATACACATTTTGGTGCTTTATTTTGCATCAGAATTTGACAAGATCTGCTGAGGAAAAGTCCCCTCATGTCACAGTACATCACCCTCCTTTCTGTATTTCTGAAACAATCACAAGAAGCTAAAAACAGACATAACTCTGAGAAATACACCGTGTATTTATAGACGCACTCAGCTTCCTCATTCCAGGACGATATACAGTCGAAGGATTTGATGAAATATAAAACTGAAAGCAAAAACTCTGCATTCAGATTTATAAGGTCTTCATCCTAATATGCTGCTGACTCAGTGCTGTGAGAGGACGTGTTGTAAATGGACGTTACACAAATGAAAGTGAACCGAATTGAACTCAGGGCTGCAGGTGGCTCGGTGGTTAGCACCGTCGCCTCACAGCCAGAAGATCCCTGATCCGGGTGCTGGCCTGGGCCCGGGATCTTTCTGTGTGGAGTCTCCATGTTCTCCCCGTGCAGCGTGGGTTCTCTCCGGGTTCTCCGGCTTCCTCTCACCAGAAACATGCTGAGGTTAATTGGTGATTGTAAATTGTCCGTAGGTGTGAATGTGAGTGTGCTTGGTTGTCTGTCTCTAAGTGTAGCCCTGTGATAGACTGGTTACCTGTCCAGGTGAACCTGCCTTCACCCTGAGTCAGCTGGGATAGGCTCCAGCCCCCTATGACCATAGTGAGGATTAAGGTGTAGAGATGATGGATGGATGTCCTCAAGCTGTCCAAGTCTTCCAATAGCTTGAACATAATGTAAGCAACGATTTGCTGCAATTTGAAAATGACAGATTTCTTTTTTAAATATATTTTTTTGGATTTTGCCTTTATTTAGAGCAGTAGAGAGAGACAGGAAAGGGGGGAGAAGAATGGGGACAGACCTGCAGCAAAGGGTCTTGAGCGGGATTCGAACTCATGACCGCTGCATCAGGGAACTATAGCCCCTGTTCATGGGTCGCCCGCTCAACTAGGTGAGCTATAGGGGGGCCCAAAATGACAGATTTCTGATGAAGGACAAGACAAACCTGATCTGGTGTGCAGGACAATCCAACCACTGGAGCAGGACAAGGAGCTGGTCCAGACACTGGATGGATCCAACCATATGCTGATACCAGGGTGAGTTTAGGTCAGACAGAGACCTCCTGCAGGTCTCTAGTAACATCTGAAAGCTGCTCCTCGTACCAGTGGATGATACTGGCTGAAGCAGACGAGGAGCCCGTAAACACCAGATCGTTGCAACGTCTCAGTAAAACAAGGGAGAGCATAACAGAAGGTTACAGGCATCGTTGTGGGACTGTTGGATGAAGCAGGGTTTAGGGGCTCCGACACCCTGGGGACAAATGGACGCATCAAATGCAACAGGGTCTAAAACAGCAGGTAAGGGTTGAGCATAAAGAGCATGAAATGTGATGAGTGACATTAGCAGCAAGACAAAACTGTCTGCAGCAACTAAAATCGCTATTGTCTAATTAAAATATGTTCTGGTAACTTGCGGTGAACCTGCAACATTCTGTTGTTTTTTATTCATATTGATAAACTACAGCCTCACCGCTGATCACCTCCAGGGGAAACAACAATCACAGCATTGTTCAGGATGACTTCACTGGTGAAGGCCTTTGGGTGCAGCTCGTATTTGTTTGATAGTCTGGGATGAGCTGGCACTACAAAGCAGGAAGACACCAGAGCTCTGCTGTGACCTCATCATGAGTGAGAGCAGATAATTTTAGCTTCAGTATTGCGTTAGGAATCAACACTTGGCTCTGAGGTTGTATATTAATACATGTTTTACCCTGTAGTAGAAAAGTTTCCAGCAGCAACGTTTCCTCAACGCTCACACAGTGTGAAGGGAGGAGGGGAAGTCCCTGGTAGTGATCTGGTAATCCCCTCCTTCCTCCTCCAGCAGCCCACAGAGCGGCGCCTCACAGCGCTGGTGGAACGTACTGGTCACACGCTGGGAATACACTGGACTTTCTTTTGTTTTTCTCCATCGGTGTTTCATTTTTCGTTGGTTGCAACTGTGTGCATGTCAGTGTGAATGTAAAAGAGGAAGCAGGTATTTCATTGGTTCAGAGAGGGAAACACAGACAGAGACACAGAACATGTTGGTTTTGCATCTCCTCGTGGTCATTCAGCTTTTGCTGTCAATTTTTAAAATCTCTTTTTAGAGGTTTTGGAGCTTCTTTATGGTCTTCTATTATAGTTATTTTACACCTTTTGTGGTTGTCAGGGGCTGCAGGTGACTCGGTGGTTAGCACCGCTAGCACCGTTAGCGCCTCACAGTCAGAAGGTCGCCAGTTGGCGTCCCGGTGAGGACACCCGGGATCTTTCTGCGTGGAGTCTCCATGTTCTCCCCGTGCAGCGTGGGTTCTCTACGGGGTCTCCGGCTTCCTCCCACAGTCCAGAAACATGCTGAGGTTAATTGGTGATTGTAAATTGTCTGTAGGTGTGAATGTGAGTGTGCTTGGTTGTCTGTCTCTAAGTGTAGCCCTGTGATAGACTGGTTACCTGTCCAGGTGAACCTGCCTTCACCCTGAGTCAGCTGGAGGTGGAGAGATGATGGATGGATGGATGGATGGATGGATGGATGGATGTGGTTGTCAGGCTTGGAGGCCCTTCCAAACCCCTGGTCCTCTGGGCCTCTGCCACCTTTACCTTTTCTGTCAGCTGTCCACGGCTTTAAGCATTTGGCAGGAGGTTATCTTTTCTCTCTGAGGGGAGACACCTGAACTATGAAGCAGGATTTGAGGTTGTCAAGGTAACTTCAGGTTTAACTCTGGGTTTTCGGTACCAGTATCTCCATGGTAGGAGATCAGTGTGTATAAAAGCTCCTCCTACCGACCAGCCAGTTCTGGTCCATCAGCATTAGAAGATCCAGGCGAGCTTGGTGCACAGACAGTCAGAGGATAAGATATTTTGAGTGTATTTAGAGCTGCAGGGAATTTCAAAGCCATTTTTTGTTCTGTTTGTCTTGGTAGAGCGCTATAATCCACGCTAAAGCCTCATCGCCTAAATATTGACCTGAAAAGATTTGCAATAAGCTGATTAATCAATCTGAATGATGATTTTGTTTTACTGACTCTCAAAATGATTTAGGACTAAAGGCGTCTCACAGCCAAAGGAAAGAGACTTAATGGGAGGTTACTGAGTTTATCGTCCACTGGTTGGCTTTTTATCATGTTTTGGTTAAATAATCTGTCTTTTTGTGCGTAATATGAAAGGACAGCGTTGGTCATTTAGCGATCTGTTATGCATGATGACAGTTAAACTAAATCTTAAATCTTGACATCTGATCAGTTCATACACTAAAGGACAGTGACAGTTATACTAATGAGCATGTTACTGACGCTTTCACTCAGCTACATGATTATAATTCTGCTCTTCGTTTGTAAAACATGTCACCGTGGTGCCGGTAGACCCGTCCTGTCTGTGATTGGTCATCTGTTTTATGTGAACATGTTCACGTCTCGGTTCAGAAACCTGGTTGACTTACCAAGTTGACAACCAGCTTATCCAGTTGCTAGGTTTAGTGAAGCCAGATAACAAAAAGATAGCCTGGATATGTTGAACCTGCTTTGGAAGCACAGGCCCCAGTACGTCCCTGAGCCGGGTCAACCAACAGGCCGGACCACAAAACCGCTATAAAACACTTTCATGTCACACGTTCACATTCATGCACTGACAGACACAGCGGGCTGACGATTCAGAGGCTGAATAGCAGCTACCAGTTGTAAAATGAATCAGACATAGAGGAGGTGAGAAAACTGATCCTTCATGAATAACAGACCGACAAGGTCCATATGCAGTCAACAGAGAAATACACCAGAGGTCCAATTTCTGAAGAACAGTAACCTGGACTTAATCCGAATTCAGTGAACATTTAGTGAATATTTTTTCATATCAATATATTGTGATGCAGTAAATGTACGTAAAATCAAATCACATAAAGCAAACTGATGTTCAGCTGACAGATAACTCCCCAGTGTTCCCCCGACCCGTCACAGGATAGAGAGTGGATCCAACTGCCTGTCTGGAGCCAAGTGGGCCAGGATCTGACTCTGTGTCACTCTGTCAAGTAGATGCTGAGACGTTTCAGTGGATAAGTCCACACTCTGACCTGCTGGTGGCGTTAGATGGAAAGGCAGGGTTAGGGCTAAACGTCTGTACCTCCTGCATGGTGATCTGTCCGACAGTAGTGGACTTATTTGTGCTGCCCTGAGGTACAAGCGTGGTGGCG